GGACAGAAAGCAAAGTTAAACCGGATGAGATATTAACTTCCATTTTACTTTAACACTTCTTATCGGGTATATAAAATGTCAGACTTCACTGTGAATCCGATGAACTCACATACTTTCAGTAACTTAGCTACAGCAAACTGTTTCTAATTTACCCAGTATCAACCATTTCTCTCGTTCACTTAGCCCTTTTTTGTTCATCTCATTGCCAATCTGTTCAAATATCTTGAGGAGTACCTTATATTAGAATTAGGTTACTGCAGATTTTTCAACAGTTAAAAACTTTCATGCTTACCTTCAACTGAAAAGTTAACTGTCAAGTTTAGAACAGTCCTGTGAACACAGCTGCCTGTACACTTTGTGATATTCTCACCGTTCAGTGAGTCATGCCGTCTTTGAAAAGTTCTCCCTTACACTTTGGCTTTCAACAACATCTATTCAGATACGGAACAAAAGCACAGCAAGAACTTCAGTTAAGCCAGGGAACAGGGAAATGCCTCCTGAATTTTAATTAACAGAACACACTAGAAAATGACGGTACTACATTCTCATAGGGCTGCTTCCAAATCAGACCAACAAATTCAAAAAGTTTCAAGTCTCTTTTTTATTTGAGTACTATCCCTTACTTGGCATCTTCAGGAAAAAACCTCCTTCACATTCTACCATTTTCAGTTATTCTACCAGCCCATGATAACAATATTCAACAATCAGTTCTTGTTTCAAAAGAGCAAACACTACTTACAATGCAGTTTCCCCTAAAATACACTGCAGATAAAAATTCAAGTATTCAAGTATCACAAACAGTTGGGAGGTTAGAAAGTTAAGAGTTAGAAATCTATCAAGAATATTACCTTCACTGTAGAACTCTATCTTTTTCAACTAACACTAGTTTTCTAGAGTGTCCAGATAAACCCTGCATGCTCCAATTGTGCTGACATTCATACTTACAGAACACCATGATGACTAAACAATGTATTTTAGCTCTAGCTGGCAGCAGTGACATGCAATGGCCAGTGCACGTTGGATGCAGTCCTGCTGCCTATTAGGCAATGGGGAAAAAAAAAAAAAAAGAAAAGAATGCTTTTATCTTGAAGATGTTGGCACCTTGACAGCTACAGCGATGACAGGGTCTTTTGTCCAAACTTTAAAAACTCTTGTATCCAAGACACAATCAAATCTTCAGTACTCTGAAGGGCATCACCTTTAAAGTATGCTAGAGAAACTTCAGAACAGCACAACTTCTCACTTTGTAAGGACTGCAGATTTTGTTCTTCTTGTCATGTCAGCCAATACTGAAAGAATATTAAAATGTTACAGTTGTTTTAATAGACTGAAATATGGAAATCAGCGACAGCACCAGACACAGCTGTAAACTGTATTAGGAAAAGGGGCAAAAAGACTGTAGCCAAGCAAATAAGTAATTAAGCCCTCTGTTTTCAATGAATGCTAGGTACTGGTTTGCTCTAACACAAACTACCATAGATCTAAAACAGGATCATCGTTTATCCCTTTCGACCAACTTAGAGGTATCAACTTTTTCTTTTGTCTTTTTTTTTACACAAAATTGGGGAGCTATTCGGGTATTTAACTGATCTGATCTCTTTGAATAAAAAAGAATTTATAAAGTCCTGTGCCACTGAAGAGAACAGGGCTCAAAACCTAGAACCTTTTGATCACAGTTCCAAGTGTTTCAGCCAGTACTGTATCTGAAAGGCTCCTCTCGCAAGCATGGCACTGCAGTACTTCTGCTGGTTATGGTGAAATTTCTTCTCCTCCCTTCACTGTGCAGTTCTCAGTATTTGCCATTTTCCTTTTTGCACAGAGCTTCACCACACAACTACTGTACCCTCTGCATTCTGCATCAGTGTCAACAAAACCCACTTAAACTTTAGTCACTACTCTAAAAATCTTCTGGGTCCCTTATTTTAGGTTCTCTTCATTTTATGTTCTTGATTGCATAAAAAGTCTTGAGTCATTTTTGTGTATATACAAGCACACAGAAAGATTGGGTAGCCAAAGCACAAGTCACAGGCCAAGATCTTCTAATGGTAGGTAAGGTACAAAGGTACTGTACAAAGAAATTCCTTCTAATTTTAAAAGTGCATAGGAAACCTACACAAATACTGCTGGAAATAGAACAATGCTGACAAATATTACAGGCTTCTGAAAAGGATTTACAAATTAACAGTTTCTATTGTAAGTTACGCCAAAAGATATCACGGCATGAAAATCAAATCAAATCATGAGATGCTACAAAGAACTACTTACTTCCACCACTGAAATGACCACTGAACGAGGTCAGACTGCCTGAAGCAGCTATAGCAGACAATAGGTCATTTGTCAGGGCTGTGCCATGTAAGCATCCCCACAGTAAACAGAAAGATAAAAACAGATTTACAATTACAACTTGTCAAGAGACAATGTGATAATAAAGTACATAAACTTGTCATAGTCCTGCTTTTGTATCAGTAATTAATAAAAAATGATTCTGTCCTGGACCAGTTTCCCTAGCACTGAACCCAGGCTCACACCCATGTTCCCAAACCTAAACGCAGAAACACAGAGCACTGAATCTCAGAGAAACCAGCAGTTAAAATGCTTTAAATGAATACATCTAGAAGTGGAGGCTGTGGCTCCTTCAGCACCTTTCTAAAAAGCTCACTGACTACAGACATTCGTATACATTTCTCCTCCCATCAGTTTCATCTCAGTTACTCCAGAGCAAGACACTGGAACCTGTGTGTAATTACTGGCAACCAGAATTTCTTCCAGTCTAGCAACTCTACAGAACTCTAAAAGAGTTAACAATCTGCAATGCACTCCTAGCCATTCCTTACCTAAATAATGCTGAGCTAACCATACAAGTAGAAAATAAAAGGTTGCTAAAGACAACTGCTACTCTAGTCTGATTCTAATCACAGACCATGTTGCCTTTCTACAACAGGTGTGAAGCAGTTTCCTATAAAAGTATACACTGCTGCCCAACTTCCTAAAGCACCTCCTGTAACAGTCATATGAGGCACTTTCCACTTATATTACTGGGATGTTAAGCTCATCAACTCAAGAACTATGTTTTGTGAAACGCTTTTTGTTCAACAGAATCTAAAGAGGGCTTACACAAGACACCTAAAGTGTGTGAAGAGACCTGGTAAAAATGTCAACTACGGAAATAGTAAGCAACTGTCAACAAAATTTGACTTCCTCTAGAGCCACAGCATTAATGATATAAAGACAAAAGTACTTTTTCTTTCTTTTCTTTTAACCAAGTCTATAATAATCTACAACTTCTTCTATGATTTTGAAACTGGCTGCTACTGAGATTAGAGACCAGTGGAGACTACTGATGACTTGTGTTCCTCAGGGATCAGCGTTGGGACCATTGTTCAACGTTTGTCGCTGACATGGACAGTGGGATTGAGTGCGCCCTCAGCAAGTATTCAAGTATGACACCAAGCTGTGTGGTTCGGTTGATACGCTGGAAGGAAGGAATGCCATCCAGAGGGACCTTGACACGCTTGTGAGGTGGGCTGATGCCAACCTTATGAAGCTCAACAATGTGAAGTGCAAGGTCCTGAACCTGGGTCAGGGAAATCCCAAGCACAGCAAGAGAGAACGGATTGAGAGCAGCCCCAAGGAGAAAGACTTGGAGGTGTTGGTTGACAAGAAGCTCAACATAAGCCGGCTTCACTGTGTGCTCACAGCCCAGAAAGCCAACCGTATCATGGGCTGCATCAAAAGGAGTGTGACCAGCAGGTCGAAGGAGGTGATCCTGCCCTTCTACTCCGCTGTGGTACGACCCCACCTGCAGTACTGCGTTCAGCTCTGGGACCCCCGGCATAACAGGGACATGGAGCTATTGGAGTAGGCCCAGAGGAGGGCCACAAAGGCTGGAGCACCTCTCCTGTGAAGACAGGCTGAGAGAGCTGGTGTTGCTCAGCCTCAGGCAAAACTTTTAACACCATGTTCCAGTATTTAAAAGGAGGCTACAAAGAAGATGGAAACTCCCTTCTCACAAGGAGTAAAATGGAAAAGACAAGGGGTAATGGGCACAAGTTACCTCTGGTGATATTCCAACTGGACACAGGAAGAAAACTTTTCACTATGAGAACAATCAGCCGTTGGAATAATGGCTGATTATTATAACCTTCTCCCCAGGGAAGAGGTGAATTCCCCAGCACTGGATACCTTTAAGATCCCACTGGGCACAGTACTGGGCTATCCTGTCTAGGTCATGAATGCGTGGAGACCTCATAGCAGCCTTCCAGTATCTGAAGGGGGCCTACAGGGATGCTGGAGAGGGACTCTTCATTAGAGACTGTAGTGACAGGACAAAGGGTAACGGGTTAAAACTTAAACAGGGGAAGTTTAGATTGGATGTAAGGAGGAAATTCTTTCCTGTCAGGGTGGTGAGGCACTGGAATGGGTTGCCCAGGGAGGCTGTGAATGCTCCATCCCTGTTTGTGTTCAAGGCCAGGCTGGACGACGCCTTGGGTGATATGATTTAGTGTGAGGCATCCCTGCCCACGGCAGGGGGGTTGGAACTAGATGATCTTAAGGTCCTTTCCAACCCTAACTATTCTGATTCTAGATTCTATAATGCAAAGAAAAGTTGGGCTGCATGATCCCCGAGGTCCCTTCCAACCTGATACTCCATAATCCTATGAAAGACTCCTCCCAGCATCCGCTCTGACAGCGGTCCCACCGCTCGGCCCTACCTGCCGAAGCCACTGTGCCGCCTCTCATAAGGCGCCGGTACCCGCCACGCGCCAAGTCCCCACGTGAGGGCCGCGGTAGGCGGAGCAGCCCCGCTCGGTGTCACATGACCCTGGCCCAAGGAAACCCCTCCCCCGCCAACCAGCTGCTGCATGGAGCCCGTCACGGCACACTACTCTTTCACGTGACCGGGAGCGAGCAGCGTGATTGGTCTGCACCGCCGTGGGGACTCGAAGCGCAGCTGTAGCAAGGGGGAGCTGGGGGGTGTTTGTTGCGGGGCGCGTTTGGCCATGTTCGCCCTCCTCGGCAAGGTGCTGGCCTACCTCTGGAGGCGCGCGGATGGCGAGGAAGGAGGAGAGGAGACATGTGCGGCGTCAGGTAGGGGTTCCTGGGCGCCTCGTGGGTTCGCGTCGCTGAAGCCATGCGGGCCGTGAGTGCAGCTTCAGATCTTTGAGGGTGCTGGTGGTCTGGCCCCTCACACGAGCGGGCTGAGTGAAGACCTGCTTACTTAAGGAAGGGATTCAAGATAAGAAGGCAGCCTTTTGACTGCAGAGCGTTCAGGAGTGCGCCTAGCAGCACTTTTTGCTTTTTCAGTATAGGTGTTTTAAGTGTGTTGGATTCCCCATGTGAGTAATGCTGAGAACTTTCTGTCTGAGGTTCAGCTGAGCTTAAACCGTGACACTTGCTCTTGTTCCGGAAAATCTTGAAAATAGCTGTTGACCCAGAGCTTTTGGGAGAAGCTTTTTAGCTTGTGGGTATTATTTTATCTTGGGCTTTTCAATGTATTTGAATATATATATATTTAAGTGTTGGCTTCTACACCTGAAATGGGTCAATCCTGGCTTGACTGAACAGAGAGCTTTGGCTGGAACTGGGGGGGCGGGGGGAAGTTTGTGACCTTTGGAAGAAAGATCACGCAACTGAGGAGGACTACAAGGATGTTGTGAGGCTATGCAGGAAATAAATTAGAAGGGCCAAAGCCCTGCTAGACCTTAATCTGGCTACTGCTGTTAAAGACAACAAACAGTGTTTTCTATAAATATGTTAACAAAAAGGAGGGCTAATGAAAATCTGCATCCTTTATTCGAGGCCAGCAGGATTAGGGAAATAAGTGCCCCCCTGTACTCAGCACTTGTGAGGCTGCATCTTACATCATTTGTTCACTTTTGGGGCCCTGGCTACAGGAGAGACATTGAGATGCTGGAGAAATTCCAGAGCAGAACAACTAACCTGGTAAAAAGGGTCTGGAGCACAAGTCTTATGAGGAGCAGCTGAGTCTTCAAGGAGGGTGGTGGCAGAGTGGGAGGTGCTGATCTCTCATGGGACCAGTGATAGGACGCAAGGTGAAGCTGCATCAGGGAAGTTCAGATTGGACATGAGGAGAAGGTGCTTGACTGGAAGTATGGTCAGTCACTGGAACAGGATCTCCAGGGAAGTGGTCACAGCACCAAGCCTGTCAGAGTTCAGGGAGCGTCTGGATTATGCTCTTAGTCATATAGTTCAGTTCTGGGTAGTCCTGCAAGGAGTAGGGAGTTGGACTCAATCCTTGTGGGCCCCTTCCAACGTGAGATATTCTAGGATTTTTTTTTTTTATGTGGCTTGAAGAATGTTGTTTTTACAATGTAGTTTGTATTTAACTAGCTCTCTTAATTGTTTGAAACCATAAGTTGCCATGAGAATTTAAGACTTAAATGTGAAACTAATTAGTTGGCAACTGTTGGTATCTTCAGTTGAGAAGAGAATGTCCTTTTTATAGGAAGGGTAGGACTTTCAGTAGCATTCATTACTTGTTGCATAGTTCCGTAAACTGAAACAATTTGGTTTCATGTCAGTGCTTTTCCTCTGGCTGCAGGTGATAAAGAATTAAAAACTGTTCAAGGAGTTGTGACAAGATTTTGCTATGATTATGGGATGATAGATGACATGATAATATTCACAAAGGATGCTGTTAAAACAGTTGTGCCCCTGACCGTTGGACAGGAAGTTACTGCCACTGTTGAAGAGGATAAAACATCAGGTGGCTTGAAGGCTATCAGGGTAAGAGGTGAAGATAAATAGTAGTCTCACTTGCTCTGTAAATCCCTTGAGACTTTTCTTTGAAAGTTAATATAGTTATAGTCTCATGAATTCTACAAAATAGAAGACATTTCCAGCTCCTCATCTAATGGTGATAAATTGGTTTGGTATTTTATTATTATTTTATTCCATCTCCTTTAAAATGTGCCTTTAATATTTGTTCTCTGAATATAGGTCTAGATTGGTTGAGCATCTAGACCTGTATCCTCAACCATTATGAAACTATTGGTTGAGATAATTGCATCAGAATTTGCTTAATCAAATGTAGGTCAAACCTCTGTGTATTAACATTTTTTGAGTTTCAAAGTCAATTTTATTGTTGCGTGAATGTATAAAAAAAATAAAAATGGGCTGCAAGTTTACTCTTTTTGCATAGAAGTGAATAAAAACATAAATTTGAAAACTTCCATTGTAAAAAAAAAAGGCAATTTACTGTCATGTGGAGTTATAAAATTGAGATTTTGATACCTTTTTGCTTACTATTTCATTTGTAAACCTACTTCAAGCTTGATTACACATTGTCACATCTTTAAGCTACCATGATTTTTTTGATCATACAGGCTCAGCTCTGAGGTGCCTGTGATAATCCAGCTGAGGAGCTGAGTCTGATGACCCTTCTGCATTTAGATACTACGTAAATACAGCTGGTGCTTGGAGGACTGACAGCAGTGCAGAAGCAGTTGATAACGGAGTGATACAGATCCCATCTTCCTGGCATGTACCCGCTGGCTTAGCTGCAGTATACTTTTAAGTACAGCACTAGATTACTGTACTTCATCTCATAAACGCACCCTGACCACAGTCTGGGCCAAAGCTTGAGCTGCTTTTATAGAGCAAATCACAGTGTAACTAGTTTAAAAGTTAACTTGAGCTTTCTAGTAAATGAATATTGGGTAATGAAGCATCTTACCAGCTCATGCCATCTATAAATAATGTAATCAGCAAACATATTTGTGACATCTGTAGACTACTGAAGAAATGGATTACTCCTGTTACTTGCACAGGCTTTTTTTTAGGATCTGTTGCTGGTTTTGGAATAACTAATCTCATGAAAACTATTTCTGAGATGCTGGCAGTTAATTGTCTACTGGGAGTTGCTTATAGGTGGGGTTTTTTATTCTGGATTTGTTTGGCATCTGTTTTTTAATAATTTATTTCAGGAAGATTTTAAATCTTGCCTGTTTCTATTTTTTTCTGTCCCGTGCTTCCTTTAACTCAAAACAGCAGTAATTCCTGAAGTAAATAAGATGTTTCATACTAAGCAATATTAAGTTGCAAAATGAACTGCAGTTACATACAAAATTGAAGGGATTTTTTTCTTGGCAAAATAGGTCTAATTTTGAAAACAGTGCAGTCTCTCATTGATTAAATAGAACTGAGGAAAGAATGTTAGTGGGGAGCAAGTTTTGTTGTGTGGTCTAAAATGAAACATGAAAGTGAAAGAGAAGGCTCATTTCTAAAATATTAGCAGCTCTAGTTCTATGAGAACCCTAGTGTCTTGTAAGATAACTTTTGTGTATGTCTGTTTGCTTTTTGTTTTGTTTTTTTGTTTGCTTTTTAAGTGTAAGAATGACTTTATGAGACTAAATACAGGAAGTCCAGCAAGCAAATTCAGTGCTGGTTGGTAAAATAGTACTCTCACACGCAGTCAAAAAATATGTTCATTTCAGTCTTTCTCCTTCCTTGTTTTCCATCTGACTGACATATTTTCACAATACTGTTGAAATATTGTCATCACTCCAAAATACATAAACCTGGTAACTGAGAAACTGCACAAGTTGCTCCACAGCAACTAGGATATTTTAGCAGTTGTGGGATGCTTTTTTGTATGTGCTAGATAATGGCCTTTTCCAAATACTGGGGATAAATGTAATGATTTATCTTGTTCCTGTTTGCGATGAGTCATTGTCATGCTTTAAACACAGCCAGCAGGTGCTTTATCAACATCGGATAAAGCCAAAACACAGCGCTGCTAACTACTAGGAAGAAAGTTAACTTCATCCCAGCCAAAACCAGGACAGTTGTAAGTCCTGTGGGCATCTCAGAAGATCTTTCTGGCAATGTAGTTTTTGGCTGGATGAGCAGCTTAAAGCCAAACTTGTGCCTAAAGTTGACTGGACTCCATAGAAAGTCAGGATCCAAAGGCATTCTTGATTTAATAAGCTGAGAGACAAAGATTTCTTCAAAGTACACAGTAGTATGTGAGCTTCTGCAAATGAAAAGGAAAATGGTGTAAGTGCTCTTCTCAAGAATGTGAGAAGGAGGGGAAGGTGGGAAAAAGGCATCAAAGTTACTCCTGGGCAAGAGCAACCATGACTGTAATGGACTTCCTGCATAAGGAGTCTAAGGCTGCCACTTTTGGTCCCAAGATTTTGTCTGTGTTGCTGTAAACCCCTTAATTACAGAAGAACAGCACTAGTCTCCCTTCTCTAAAAGGGTCTGTTCTAGGTGCTTGGTTAAAAAATTGAACTAATTCTGTGTTCTGATAATTCTTGAATTACTTTCCATGTAGTAGCACAAACTTGAGATGCCCTTGAGAGTTTGCTCAAAACAGCTGACAGCATTCCAGTCATAGTCTTTTGGGGGGGCAGAGGGAAGTCTCTCTTTAATCCCTTAGAAGAAAATAAAATAGCTTCCTGATGAGCATAATCATTAAATAGTATACAGAGTTGTGCTTGGCCACCAATACTATCTTCTTCCAAGAAAACTGAATATTGCCTCTTAACTTTTGGTGTTGAAGTAACCTTAAAGATATGGCTCAGATTTCAGAAGTGAGTGCAAGCCCTACAGCCTGAATACTGCCAGCATGTAGGTTTGCGGAGAATCTGGAAGGCACAATTAAAACTTCTTTGGTGTCAGTTGTGTTTTCTGTATTACCTATGTTAAGGAAGAGCATGATCAGCCTTGGGTGGCCCTCTGCTCAGTGTTTTCCCTGTTGAAAGCATTTCCTTAAGTGTACTTGCAAGTATAATTCCATATCTAATTTTAAATGTAAATTTACTAGTCTTCTGTGGAGCAGTGTAATTGCTTATTTGGATTCTGTCCATATGAAGCCATACAAATTGCTTAGGAGAAAGTTTGATATTCTTGGATGTTCTTGGTGAATGTGAAGATAGTATCTGTCAGACTGCAGCAAAACATAATTTTTTCTGTATTTTTTAAGTGAGTTTTAAGGTCATTGAAAAAAATATCATGTAGAAATGGTTCTTTTAATGCGATATAACAATGTTGACTAAAGAATAAATGGTTACATATAGTTTAACAGTAATGTTTGCAAACTCTGGAGTAGAGGTAGGCCTAAGCTATTTATTACTATCTTAAATGGTAATATTTTTTACGTTCAACAAAACAGATTATATAGAAGTTATGATCATAGTACAGTTGAAATTGGACCAGACTTCAGGAAGTTTCTAGTCTAACCTTCTGCTCAAAGGAGGGTCAGCTTGTAGTTGGATCCAGGTGACTCAGGGCTTTATCCAGCCAGGTCATGGAAACTCCACAGATGGAGAGAGACCGCACAGCCTCTGAAGCTTGAACCCATGATGGTGGTGGCTCTTTGGGAGCAATAAAGAGAACTCGCAGTTCTAAGAATTCTAGTAATTAAAAGCAGAGATGCTATATACTTGCCCCAACATAGGTGGGGGTGGAGGGAAATCACATGCACTGATGCTTTATAGCTGGTGTTCTGCAGAGGACTGTTTAAGCAAGTAAACTTACATTTGAGGTGGTGATATGGGGAGTCTATATGAAGCAGTTCTTGAAGTTTTGGGTTTTTTGGTTTGGTTTTTTTTTTTTTCAGATTATTAATGGCAGTCTGAAATACCTACTGTTTATAAATAACATCTTGAAAACATACTTTTTTCTTTCTGAAACAGTGACGTCCTGGTTCCACTTGTGTGCAGTCAGATTGCTGGGAGGGCAGTGGTCCTCTTTGCAATATGAAGAAAATTCTTAAGTAGAACTAAAGCAAGAGAGGCATGAGATATTTGACAATCAGCATGAAACTGTAGTAGCTGTCAGTGTTGCGGTATCCAGCAGACTTCTTAAAAAAGAAGTTAGTGGCTACTGTTTATGGGTTTTGTGTACAAAAATGAACAGCGACAGTGAGCGTAGAAACGTCTAATGAGGAGCTTGACTTCCGTAAGCTGTTTAAATTATGGTATTTATTGTACTAATATATGTTTAACATACAAGCCTAAGTATCAGCTGTTTGAATGTTGGGATTTTTCATATTAATAGGTAGATGCTGCCCAAAATACCTGGGGAGACTCCAGTGATGATGCTCCTGAACAAAATATGAAAACATTAATTGGAAATATTACCTCTGTCTCTAAGAATGGTGGCTATATTAATTGCAATACATTTTTTGCAATGGAAGATGTCTGTGAAGGTGTGTAGGGGATTTCTTTTTCTTACTTGCTCTTCCTTAATTTTTTATATGTATAATAGAAATATCTTCTGATAAACTTGCATTCAACATCCCAAATAAGTTCTAATAGCATGTATGCAGTGAAACAAACATGGGGTTTGGTTGAAGAAAGCTACCTCTTCATAACTGGCATGCAGTCATATAAGCATAAGTTACGGGCATGCAAGTGTATTTTTCCACTAGCATCTCTTGCGTAGTTTGTCATAACCTGTTGGGGAAAGAAATGCTAAGAGAAGTTTGAACTCGCTGGATCTGAATGATGCGTTGTTCTGGCTGGTTATTTTATTTAACTTAAATTAGTTCTGCATGAGAGTAATGCAGAAGACATCAGTTGCAATTAAACTTGAGAAATGTTCTGTCTTACATAGGCTTCGAACCTTATGAAGGTGACTGTGTGCAAGCAAAATATTTTATTAACCCAACAACTTGGAACAGTGAAGCAGTTGCTGTAAAGCCTTTGAGATATAAGCAAGTAAACAAGGTAAATGTTCTGTATATTATTTTTGGCAAGAGGAATCTTGTCTGAAGTGGGGTTTTGCAAGTGGTTTTAAGTTGCTGATATGGGTAGATCTTCTGTAAGACATCTTTAATTAAAAGGTAAAGCATATCACCTCATCCATTTACAAGAGTATGTCTAAAATAACAAAGCCTTTTGAAAAAGCACGTGCACTCTGTTAGAACAGGATGAGTTACTTATTTACAGGCTATCAATTGTTGGATGCTTACTGTTTTACTTACACGCATCCTCATTACAACCAGTGTATTTTTCAAACTTTGAGAAGTAATGACTTTGAAATTTATGTTGTTTTAATTTATCCAAGCGTTTTGGCTTGAAGGCAACTGTTGTCCCCTTTTTCATTTTACTGAAACTACTTGTTACCTCTAGTAATACATGTACTAGGTTTATGGTTTATTGTATTTGCCTTATCTGTAGATAATGAATAATATTTGCATGTCAAGCATAGGAAAAAATTTTTTATGACTGGTAATGTTGAAGTATAAACTAAATAAGTTGGTAAGTCACAAGATAGGTATGATTAAGTCAAATATACATATTGTAGTATCATTTCGGTGAAACCTCATGCTTATCTGAAGTAGTTGTGTTTCTTTACATTTCTAAATCTAAAGATGAGCACAGTGATTCTAGGTTAGATCTGTGTGTTTACCTCCTGTGAGCAACTGAAACTTCAGAATGCGGCTCTGTTAATGCTGGAATGATTGTTGCAGGAAAAAACTGCAATGGTTGGTAATGGTAGCTAGCTTAAGCAGATAATACTCAGTAACAGTGAATAACAAACTGTTTCAGGCTCGCATTTCCAGCATCTGTGGAAGAAGTGGTGCAGTAAATGAGAGTATATTTTTTACTTTGGATTCATTGAGACTTCCTGATGGCTATTCACCGTGTGAAGATGATCTAGTGAACGCAGTTGTGGTGGAGAGCACTCAGTCGTGTTACGTTTGGAGAGCTCTCTGCTTGGTGCCAGTCAGCCAAGATGGGTAATGTTCATTCTTCTGTTCTCTTTCCACTTAATAACAACTAGAGATTAATTGCAGTTATGCAGCTTAAATTCTTCTGCATCTGTAAAGCAAGGAATACTGTGAGTTATCACTAGTTGACTAGAAGGCTAGTTGACTAGTTGATGGGAAGATCAGAGTGTGATACAATTTAGCCCTTGATTTTTTTTCTTCCTTTCCGGAAGGTGAAGATGCCTAGAGAAACAAAACCAGTAGCAGCTCATGGATAATGCTAGGCACAGTTGGAATTTTGATGGTTTTGTTAGAAAAATGCCATGCTCATGCTCTTACCTTGTGTTTCCTCTGTGTTCTTCTAGTGAGGATTTTGCTTCTTGAAAACCATTCTCAGCAAAACTGATGTAAAATAGTTGTATCCTTAATCCATTTTGCTTAAGTTGTAGTAGTCTTCAGGTATCTGTCCTAAACAAGAGTAGTTCAGTGATCTGAGGAGTAGAGATTCTTGGGCTTGCACATACCAAACTGAGAGGTTGTGCAGGTACTATAGAGACTATATGGGATGTGAAGTGGATCTGGACAGATGGCAGAAAAGGTTGAAAAAAGTAGATGATCACTAAGGAGAAGCAGCAAAATTTTGTGGAATAAACAACTACGTAAATGTGGAAAGGAACGACTAGTCAGTAGCAGTTCTGCAGCAAAGATCTGGAGTTTGGCTTGCGCGTTTGGGTGTCTGTTCTGTGAAAAGCACAAGCACAGGCCAAATGTGTATAGATAGGGCTGTTACCTGTAAAATGTGTCACTCAGTGCTAACAAGACTTTGGTAGGGTTACTGAGTGTGATTGTGCAGGGCAAAAATAAGCTGTTGACAAAGTTGAAAGTCCTAAGGAGAGCAAAAAGGGCATCCGGATACCTCTCCAACAGTGTCTTTTGGAGATCTTGCCAGGAACTGTGAAGAATGGAATAAGCAGTTTTCACTGGAGAAAATGGATGCAATAGACTTAAATTATACTTAAATAAAGCTTGAAGTTTTTACATCACTTTGCACAATAGTACAATTTGTTCACTTGTTTTCCAATTGGACCAATTTTTAATGATGGATTTTTATACAGAAAATGCTTACTAAAGCCAAGTTACAAAAGTACACTTTCAGGTTGATTTCTCAGGTTTACTTTATTTCCTACCATATCAAAAACTTGAGGTTGCTTAAGCTGCAGTGGGAGACATCTAGTGGGCTTTGCTAGTAAATTGATGTAGCTAATAGAAAATGACCACAGCTGTTTTTTGTTTTTTTTACTTTATTATATTAGATGACCTCATAGCAGCCTTCCAGTATCTGAAGGGGGCCTACAAGGATGCTGGGGAGGGACCCTTCATTAGGGACTGTAGCAACAGGACAAGGGGTAATGAGTTCAAACTTAAACAGGGAAGTTTAGGTGAACTATAAGGAAGAAGTTCTTTATTGAGAGGGTGGTCAGGCACTGGCACAAGCTGCCCAAAGACGTAAATGCTCCATCCTTGGCAGTGTTCAAGGCCAGGCTGGACAGAGGCTTGAGCAGCCTGGTCTAGTGGCAGGTGGCCCTGCCTGTGGCAGGAGGGGTGGAAGTAGATGAGCCTTAAGGTCCCCTCCAACCCAAACTATTCTATGATTCTGCAATTCTTTGACTAAGTAAGGAAAACTTATGGTGTGCAGATATTAATGACACTTAAAATGCTTCCAAGTCATTTTCTTGCCACTTTATCTAACAGAGTAGTTTCTGAATGGTAGAATAGAGGCAATTCTTTGAATTGTTTCTGCAGGTAGCTGGCACTGAGAGAGCTCTGGTCACTGTCTCAGGGAAGAGCGTATGACTTTGGCTTCATGATTTTTCATCAGTAGTATGTGCGGTAGTTCTTAAGGGTGCTTTTTGATTTTTTTCTTTTTTTTTTTTTTTTGCTTTTTAAGAACTTACTTTTCCATTTGCTGCTTTCAGATTGTAGCAGTGAGCAGAAGACGTAAGTGCTTGGGGTACATATTAAAACACTTCCAGTCTAGTCATTTTATCTCTTAAGCTCCAGTGCTAACCCAGAACTGTTCTTTGTTGTGTCTTGGTTCAGCTCCCAAGGAGATCTGTAACAGCTTCAGGCTTGTTTTCAATTTGCTGCTTAAATTAGTAAAGGTAATCAAGTTGTCTTGGAATTGTAAGTAGCCTCTCACCTGCTTCTTCCTGAATGTTGTGCCTGTGCTCTGGTATAGTGGTTCTAAAACTTCTGCTGAAAGACATTTGTTGAGTCTCTGTTTTCAAATTACCAGCTAAAATTATTTTTACAGACAATTTCACTCTAATGGAGTCAGTATGGATGAGCCTTATGAAGACTTAATGAGAGACAAAGGAGGGTTAGAAGTGTCAAGAATGACTAATTTTGGAACTCTGAAGCAGGGGGAGTATAAAAGAATGAACATTTGGATAGAGTAAGCCTTTCTGATTGTTCTAAGGTTGCTTTCTTCTGTTCTATCACTCCATAGTCTGTAAACCTGTCTTTCATACAGTCTTGTGGTTCATGGTCTTCAAATAACCCCCGAAATACTTTGGAATTAAAGAGAATTCCATATTGAATTTAATGTCTTTAGGATAGTCTTTTTTTATTTTACATCTGTCTTGCAGGTACTACTTTGTGGTTTTCCAATCCTGTGTCTCTTTTCAGTCCTAATAAAATCCTTTTCTGGAGTGAGGATTAAAGTAAATGCTTTACTTGTACGTGTGTTTAAATTAAACTGCAGATAGGCGGTTGTCTTCAAAATCCTAGCTCATGAGGCTGTTGCTTACTAATAGATTAAAAGCAGACACTTTTAACTTGGATGCTGAGTAACTATATTGGTGTATCTTTGAGGGGGTTCTGTTTTGGTGGCTTTCTCTTTGTTTTGGGGGGCTTTTAGGGTTTCCCCCCCACATCTGGGCATAGAGGCTCAAATGAAGTCATACCTGAATACCTTCTGTTAGTTTCTGTATGCTCTTTCCTAAGAGTCAGTTATCCAATGATAAATTTTTTAAGTTACCAAAGCTGCTTTTTTTTTTTAAATGCAGAATATTTCTGTATGCTTCATAGTAGTTGATAAGACCTAGAAATACTAACATGTAACAAAGGTTTTAGTCCTCATAAGTTAGAAATAGCAATGCAATTTCTTTCTGATAGTGGCTGTGAAATAATGGTGAACTAATCTGCTACAGACAGTTGTATTTGACTTCAGGTAGAATTAAGCTTCCCAAGAATATTAACTATGCATTTAATTATGTAATGAATTACATAATTACTTCTAGGAATAAAGGGTGTGCACCACAGTCCTTAATCAGCTGCAGATTAGCTGGATGGATGAAAGACAAGCAATTCAGTTTTCAGATGCCTCAAAAATGCCAGACCAGTGCAGAAGCATATCTGTCATCTTTTCCAATAAATAAAGAAAACCTCTCGAAAGCTGCAGTTAATTCATATAACAGTGGAGGAACAACATATGAGTCATTGCATAATACATCCATTATGAAGAATGGAGTCATTCCAGGTACAGTGAAACGTTAATATTTGAATGCTGTGTATTAGCTCCTCAGAATACCTGTAAGTTTGAGATGCCTTGTCTCTGCTAGCAGTCGCAATTGGGGTAAGAGAATTATTTAAAATCTGTTTGCTGCAGAAGGAATTAATTCTCAGGATACAAATCTGTCAGGGACAGAAAAAACCTTTTCCCTGGTGGAAGATGAAAATCTACATAATGGAGAAAAGGAGCAAAGAGAAGATGTGGAACAGCCAGTAAGACATGTCAATGGTACTGGAGAAATTGTCATACCACCAGGTGGAAAAACATTCATAGTGGTCATATGCACAGCTGCGTAAGTATTTTTTTCCATTGGTTCTGACCAGTACAATTGAAACAAGTAATGAAAATTGACTTGATAGTTCCCTTATTCTGGGCACATTTTTTGGTGCAGGATAACATAAGCCAGTATATATAGCAAATACAGTAATGAAAGGAGTTATTTTAATGCTTGATGCTGACTTTTGTCAAAAGAAAATGGTAGTAGCAAATGGAGAAATATAATGGGAGTAGATAGCTTCTCTTAAAAAACACAGTAAGGTGAAGATGATGCCTGCAGCTTTTTTGCGAAACCCATTGTTCAATGAGCATTAGAGCTAATACAGATTTCCAGGAAGTTTGTGTTGTGCCTGGTAAGTTTTCTTCCGGTTTCAGTACCCTGATGTCTTGTCATATTAAATGCAGATTATGTATGCTGAAATAAAAAAGGAAAAAAGTTTTCTTCCCTGAGGGTGTAATTTATAGAGGACATAGTTATTGAAAAGCAAAAATACTTTACTGTACAAAATATTTCATGGATTTAGTTAAGAATAAAAAGTGGCTTTGTATGAGCTCTTTCACAATAGGAGCCTCCATATTGGAAAGCTTACTTTCATGTACTTTTCAGTTGCTTCCAGCTATAGCTCTACAGATGTTGTGTACCACAACCATTGATTCTTACGATGATAATTTGAAAGTTGAGAGTAAATCATGATCAGATAGTTTCATTCATCAAAGCCGCACCATATGAGCTTTCACACTACTTCTGTTACCATTTTAAATAATGAGGCAAGGGGTAGGAATCTTAGGAGGATGATTTAGTTGCTATTTGAAAGATAAGCTGCAGGCATGGCCTGCATTTGTGAAGAAAGGCATGTAGAAAGAACAATGTATATACCTCGCTGTAGATCTGTAAATGCCACAAAGTCTGAGAATCTTCTGTTAATACAGAACTACCCATACAAAACTCCATGGGAGGCTGCAGCGTGAAGGTAGCAAGTGCAAGCTGGCCACTTAAGAGGCCATAGAGCCTGTAAAGTTGGGCCATAAATCTGGGCAGTTGAGTGTCTGCACTGAGTTTGTGTATCAGAGAAAACCAGGCTACAGCTTTAACCTGAGCAGGTAGTGTTAGGTGACATGAAAAAGTGGTACTGCCAAAGAGGAAGCTGGAATCCTGATGGGATGCCTTTGTTTCAAGCACACAGTAACAGTGTTGGACCGTGTAGTTGGTGCTGAGGAGAGAATTGGGCTCTAGGTAGTGCTGGGATGGGTTCATTAAAGGATTTCAGAGCAGGTGGTATGTGTTAGGTCTTTTGTCTTAAGTTCCTTAGAAACCAGTCTGAAGAAACTGTTCCATCTGATTTCTACTTTTTTTCCCCTCCCCTCTCTGTCAGTCCCCAAGCACCATTTACATGTGTAAAGTGCATTTTTCAGGAGTAAAGGATTTCTCCTGCTTTCTTCCCTTGCTGTGTTTACAGTTAGGGCTCAGTTCTGAGTAGCCTTAAGCAAGGTGGACCAAACCACTGTTTCTGCAAACAATGAAGGGATAAGCTTCAGGTTCCTGTGATGGAAATGTCTGGTCGATCTCTCAGTAACAGTAGTTCCAAAATGTTCCTTGTGACATATGTATGAATTCTGTACCTAATATGTTGAGAGGAGGGATTTTACTCTTTTATCAAGCTATTGATGAAATAGGGGGGTTGAGATTTTTACTTTTTATTTATTTTACCGGAATTGAACTCCAGATGGGGAGTGAGTGTGAGGGATTACCCTACGTTATCAGTTCTCATGTGTTCCTGAAATGAGAATCTGCAGTGCTGTTTTTAAAAATATGTATGGCTGGGGAAAATCAAGTGTGAACATGATGGTTTTAAGAACTTAACTTCTGCTTACTTCAAGAAATCCTGGGTACAGTAGAGAACTCCTGTTGCTTGTTTTTTCTGATTTTACTGTGGGACGTTATATTGAAGCCACTGTAACAAGTGAAGAAGAATTACTACTAGCACCCGTGGAACCATTTTCTCCAAGAAAGCCTAAAATTAATCCAGAACCTCAGCCAAGGATGACAACAGTGGTTGTCCCTAAATACAGAAGGTACTGTGAATTGGAACAAAAATAACACCTAATGCTGTTGTGTTTGATACTGCTACATCTGTAAGACTGACAAAGGAAATGTAAAATTGGGAGAATCTGTACATCTGTATATATGTACATTGCAAACAAGGTAGGTGTGGGCATTACTGATGGAAGGGATTTTTTTAGTAATGAACTGCTTGATTTCTCTCTAGATTTCTCAAACACAAGTTCTTTCTACCATATAATGTGATGAAGAAGATAAATGCTGTTGCATAGAAATCTACAAGTAACAATTGTGTAATTAAGAAACAAAATGGAAAAAGTTTTCTGAGAGATTTAGCTTCTTAACTGCTCAAGCAACTTTGAGGTCTATGTATGATAAATGTTGCCCATTCTTTCATTGTCAAAACAACTTTCCTTTTGTGAATAAGCTCCCATTATACTTAGAGTATTTGCTTAGTTATAAAAAATATCCCTAAACTGAAAAAGTAGACGCATGATGTTTTCCAATAATCTTTACCTGGAATGCTTACCTGTCTTCCCAGCACAGCAAACTTAATTGTCACTTCGAAGGAACCGTTTGGCCTGTCATGTGTGTGCATGTTCTGGCCTTGATGATGTGGCATGTTAATTAGCTGCTTTTCACATGTATAATTTGAGAAAGCTAAATGATCTGCAATACATTTTTGTTTTAGAAGTCACAGAAAGCATTTGCCAAGCTTTCTACCACATTATCCTGTACCAGATGATTTAAGAAGATGCGTGGAGCAGAAGTTAGACATACTGGCTTTTCAGCCTCTCTTAGCAGAGGTATGCAAGCGTAGGTTTATATAAGAAAATATATTTTATGTATGGTGTTTGTTCAAGCTGGCCTTAATTTAGCAGAAATATGTAGCCCTTTGGTATAATGGAAGATGATGTAATCCTACTGTAGGCTTAAGACTTTAGTCTGCTGCATAACTTCTATTGAGTTTCAGTATGTCACAGAATCCAAGCCTATAAGAGTACAAAAGGGTAAATGTGAAAAACTGAAAAGGGAGTAGGAGTATACGGGGAGGGGGAGAAGCGTGTAGGGAATACTACAGAAGCTGAACAAAGATTCCTCTTCACTTCTTGAGCATCATTTGAAAGGGGGGTTTTGGGTGTCAGAGCAGTAGTCCATCAGTTTTCTCTTAGTAAATGAAAGCAGAGTTTCTTAAGATACTGCAATAACAGAGGATTCTTTTCTGGATGCTCAGAACTTTTGGCTTTCTTTAAATCCTCAAATTTAATTCCCTGCAGCTTGTTCAAATTCTTCACACACAGCAGTTTCAGAGTATACACACCAAAAATTAAAAGCAAGTCTAACAAGAATGTTCCAGTGATTCCTTCTCTGGAACTTTGTCCTGGTTTCTGGTAGAATGTTGCTGCTACTCACTCTTTTGTTTCCCTAACTTTAAGGACTTGTAAACTTGGTCTGATACCTAATTTTTTCAAAAATGCAAAAGGCTGTTGTCCGCTTTCTAAACAGCTCACACAAAACCTGAGGTCACAGCATTAAGACAGCAGGTTAGTGATTCTCTCAGAAATATAAAGCTCTCTAATGTTTGAAAGAATTTTATATGGGAAGTTTGGTAACTTTTAACCACACCTTAAGTTCTGTGACTGTTTTAAGTCTGCTCCAGGAGGCACTGCTCATCTGCCTTGTGTTTGTGAGAAGATACCAAATGGAAAACATTCTGTGCTGTCAATTATTGTTTAGATAGAACTTTTTGCTGTTGGAAAATACCTCTTCAGTGAGGTGCATTGAGCTCTGAGGAAGAAAGTTCAGGTTCTTTCAGCTTGCCATAAACTGTATCATAATCAGCCAGTGCCAAGACAGATATGGCTCACTCTCTCAATCATCTCTGCCCGGTGTACTTAGATTTTTATGCTTTCTGGGATTGCTGAGCATAGAAATCCATTTGGAGACTGTCCCTGAATTTAGATGTTGAAACTGCTATTGGAGAAGGCAGAGACTTGGTTAACTCTTCAGCTGACTGGCCGTTGTATCTGAGCTCCAAGGATTATACTAATTCTCTTTTGACTACTGAAGGAGTTTAAAATATTAGCTAGTATATAGAAGCATGTATTTAGGTGCCTTAATTGGCAACCCAGTTCCTGTGCAGTCTGTGTTAAGATTTTTTTTTTATGTAATGTTAAGAATAGTGGGTTCCACATCTTAAGTGTGGAAATTACAGCAGTAATGTATACTGGTTTATTTTTCAGCATCTTAATATAGATAATTATAAAGCAAAGTTTTCTACTCTGTTGTGGCTTGAAGAGATCTATGAAGAAATGGAGATAAAAGACTTTAACATGAGTGGGGTTACTTTGAAGAGGAGCGGGGACTTTTTAGTGTTGGAAGTGCCAGGAGTGGAAGAGGGCAGACCTCACCTCACTGCAGGTAGTAGTTAATGTGCGATAAAGCCAAACAGCATGTTGGTCAATATTTTCAGTGTAATTCAAACTCCATTGCTTACTCACTTCTTTAAAGAAGTCTTGCATGTATTTGAACACAAAGTTACTGATCTAGGCTACTAGACAGGTGAACTGCACTGATAAGTGTTTCAGTGCAAGTCTTAAAGTGGGTGCTGTCTGAAGCAGTGCTGTGTGGCTGTTCTTCTGCCTATTCAGATACTTAGGATTTTTTATGTGCAAAAGCAGGGGCTTTCTCCAAAAATAAACTGCAATGTAGTAATAACTTAAAAGACAACAGGAGTGTCAAAAGCAAAATCCAGGAAAGTAGTTTAAATTCAGAATCTCAAATAATAAGATACTGTTTTCAGGAGGTGCTGTCTGATGGCATCAATATTTAAATCCCTTTAATATACAACTGCATATGGTATTTCAGAACAGGGGCTCACAGATACAGCAACTTTGCTGAAGTTAGTTAACATCTAGTATCCTGCAAATTCTTAGTTTAACTATGCAAAAGAGCAAAAAATGTAGTGCTGTGGTGAGCATTTTACTATTCCTTTAACAATATGTTGCCTTTCGACTTTTTTCACAATTAGGTAATAAGGTGATACTGAGAAGTCAGGTATACTCTGAACATATAATAGAGTACGTTGCCTATATTACTGAGGTAAGCAAGGTCCATCTCCTGTTGAAAATAATGTGGTCCATGAGTTTCAGAAGGGAAGTTGGCAATTCATGGAGTTACAGACTATTTTAACCTAATTTTGGGAAACTAAATTTATTTTATCTATGTTCTGAGAGGTGATTCCGCATTTTTATTGCGTTCTTTAAGTCTTTGGCTTCCCTATGCTTTTTAGATTATAATTTTTACCTGCTCTGAAAACACTCATAACATAATGTAAATACCCACTATATTGACAGCAAGTATATTGACAGCTAGGTGTTCTTTTTGGAGGTTACGGGGGGGTGTTCAGTGCTTTCAGAGATGCTTCTTTGTGTTTAAAGTACTAAACTTTCATCAGTAAACTGACTTCTTTTAATCTTTGCAACAGATATGTAATGAAGATGTTACTCTTAAATTTAATGCAGATTTTGAACAGTCTTACAACTCTGAACCTATGGATGTGGAATTTGTGCATTGCAGGTATTTTTATATTTCCAAAAAGCAGCATGTAATGATTTCTTTAGTAAATTGACTTTGAAAATGTACATGATTGTCAGTTGGTTGTTTTGATGGGTACAGGTAGGAGAAGGACATAATTACGGTCTTGCCAACTCTTTCACCTCTTCTCCTCAACACACCTTTGCCACGACCTTCATCAGTAGAAGGCTGCATCTGTAGTCATGATGTACAAACAATTCTGGTCTTAAGCTTCTCTAAATGATTGCTTCAATGCCAGGCAGTGCGGGAAATAAGGTGGGAGAGTAGGGGGGAATAAGGTAGGGTATTTTGGGTTTGGTTACTTAGGTTTTTTTTAATGAAAAAAGATACACCAATATGGCTGCAAAAATATTGGGGGGGGGGAGGAATGGAGGCAAGGCAAAACCTTTTATGGTTTTGTCTCATCTGTACAGAGTTGCATTATCCTCTCTGTAAAATCAGTTTTGCAGAGAACTTCCTTCAAAGGCTATCTGAGCCTGGAACACCAAGCCATCTTTGTCTCACTGAAGAGCTAGAGGATATATGTATTAATATTTTTCATGGCAGAGCTGTTGAATGACACCTCTGTAGTGTATTCCTCAATAGGTGCTGCTTTTAAAAAATAAAATATTTTATATAAAAAAAACAACCTATATCTGTATGGGCTGGTGTGTAGTAAAAAGCACAGGATACCTTATATGCTGCAGTAGCTTATTGATATATAAGCTCTTTAATCTACAAATTCGTATTCTGATAACAGGGTTACTAGCAGGCGATGCCAGTTGGCAGTTGAGCAAGCTATCTACCTGAGTGAAAAAGGTACGCTTCAGTTGACTTAAGCTGTCTGGAGGAGTGACTTTGTGGGGTTTATTGTGGTTTACATTGTTTTCAGGGCATTCTGAGAAGAATGCATTGTAGGTTGTACTCTACAGGATTTTTCTGTAATGTTATTTTTCTTAACAACTCTCTGAATCTAGAGTAGGTATCATCAGGATAATTTCATCTGTTGACCCTCACAGGGGAGAGGAGCAGAAACAAGCTTTGAACTGTTTGAGCCAATAACAAACGTAGAAATCACGCTGGTAGAATAATAGCAAGTGAAATGACAGTGGTTTGCTACCTCAGAATTTATTACAAAGCACTAGTTTCTGGCTTTATGGTTGAGTAGAGCAATACATATGAACTTCATACAGGTCTTTACCACATTTGTTAGTTCTGGTAAACCAGTTTCAGCAGCTCAGAGGAAGCTGATGTAGCAGCAGTAATGTTAATCAGTGAAATGTGCTTTTAAATTTCTCTACTTTCTCTTTTTCCTCTAAATATGAAGTGTTATTTCCAGGAAGACTTGTCTTGCAATCACCACAAGCTGTCAAGACCCAGAATACTGCTAAGTATTGTGTTATTGATGGCCTTGAACAATGTTCCCAGCAGGAAAGTAAGGTATCTGTTCTGTAAATGTTCCTTAAAATGCTGACTGCCGTTCAGACTGGTAACAGATACCTACTGTACAGCTTTGTTAGAAAGGAATTGCGTAATGGTGTATCAAAGAATCAAAGTTGTATTCTGCTGCTTTCTGATGATGAAAGTCTTTGCTGCCTGGGGCAGGGGATTTTATAACTAATACTATTAAGCTAAGGCAAGTGCTAATAAAAAAAACTGTATGATTATAATTGGAATTGTCAGATTTGCCTTAGACTAGTTTTCATAGCTACTGTTGACTAGATACTTAAGTCCTGTCTGCTGTGGCAGGACCTAATTTTATGATGGGAGGTAATCATCCTATCCTAAGTAGATTTACTCAGGCTTCTTAACTGCTAAATTACATGAAAACTTGTAGAAATCTTTCTTAGGTAACCCTCTGAAGTCCTTTCTAGTCCTCCTTTCTATTTGAAGCAGCACTGTCACCATCACTAAATCAAGTCAGCCTGGGGGAGGGTGGGAAGCATTTTATTTTTGTCTAGAGATTCCACAGCCTCTACGCAACCTATGCTTCACCACCTTTCTACTCAAGATTTTTGTTGAATTCCCAGTATGAATCTTCCACCTGCAAGAGGTGGATGTGATCCCTTATGTCACTACAAAGAAGAGCTTGTCTGTCAGTTTTTTATAACTGATTTAAGCCATCGTGGCTATTAGACTGCTTCTTCACTTCCTCATAGCCAAACTGAAATCTGAGCTCTCAGCCTTTCCAGTTCATAACAAGAACATAGCATTCACAGTAAGCAAGGATCCTGAAAAGGGCTGAGGATTACTACTCAGCCATTGTGTTCTCAGACTGTTTTGGTTCACACAGTTATAAATGCATTTACCTTCACTTGCTGTTTTCAGGTCAAAAAACTGCAGAACAAACAAGCAAAATGCGTGGCATCAAGGGACATGAACACAACAGATGTGATGAGAGTAGCTGCGCAAACAAGCCAACTTGGTATACTTTCTATTCTTGAATATAAAGTATTAGTTCAGGATTGCAATCACTTCAGTAAGCCAGTACTGAGTAAGATACTTTTGAGATATCCTTGTGTTCTGTCTTTTAAGAGACAAATTCTAGAACGCTACTAGCAGCAAGCGTCATTGGAGTCTTTCTGTGGATTACTTAAACATCTCCATTCATGGAATGGTTTGGGCTGGAAGAGACCATAAAGGTCATCTAGTTCCAACCACCCTGCCATGAGCAGGGACACCTTCCACTAGGCCAGGTTGATCAAAGCCCTGTCCAGCCTGGCCCTGAACACTGCCAGGGTGGGGACAACAAGCGTCTAGTGATGGATTTGTACTCAATAAATTATCATCTCCCAGTCATTTCCTGGAAAATTTTTGATATCTTTAAAAGACTTTTCAGAAAGCCCAGATCATTCCTGAGCTTTTCCGGAAAGTGTGAATTTAAATATTTAATTTCCAAAGAGGGAGATTTTATCACTTTCTAACAATGGGATGCCTGAAGAAATACAGAATGGATAACCTAGAATGTGCTTCTATCCAACAGTTAATAAGATTCTGCTGTGGAAAGCTAAAGCTAGACTAATTCAGACAGGATTAAGGAAAAAAAAAAACCTGTAGTTGTGGCTTACTATTGGTCATCTAGTACTGGTACTGTTCTTGCAGCACCAGATACTAAAAATTACTGAGATTTTACTGGTTCAGGACCAAAAAAATGAGCTTGCTGAAATTACAGAAAGAGTTTTTTGCAAGATTGTTGAGTTACATAATCATAGTCCTTCTCTGGCCTTCAATTTTATTAAAGAATCAGTACACTCCTGAGAGGTTAATGGCTTATTTTCTACATGATATTCTATGAAATTGGAATTTTTGAGAATTTCATTAGTTGTTGTCACGTAAAGTGACAGGTTTTTGAAGCATAATGTGAACTGGGATTGTTTGAACCTGCGGTAAAAACATTTATGTGGCATTTTAATGCATGTTTATCTTGATTATAGTTGCTGAAACTGGGACACTTAAACAGGGAGCTGGTGAATTTTTCAATCCTGTGCTGAATGAGCAACAGAAACTGGCAGTGAAAAGGATACTGAGTGGTGAATGCCGTCCAACACCCTATGTTCTTTTTGGACCACCAGGAACTGGAAAAACAGTAACAGTAATTGAAGCTATTTTACAGGTAATGGTGAATGAGAAATCAGTCACCTATAATTTTTTCAGTATTGGAACACTTAACAGTAATTCTGTAAGTGCTGTCTTACTTTTTCCCAAGTTTTCCCAAGATCATTTTCAAAAGCTCAGAGAAAAAGGAAAGATCTTGAAATGGAATTAATAGAATTCCTGAATGGCTTATTTTCAAACCTGTTTGTCTTTGTCTTTAAAACTTTAATGAACAGTATCTAACTTGTGATTCCAGTAGGGCCCAAAATATTTGTGAAGCATGGTTATACATTACTGTGGTAGCCATGAATTAATTCTCCTGTCAGTACGCTCGGTTTGAGAGTATTTGTGACTGTGAAGACTGGTGTTCTTGAACTGCAAAAGGATGGATGAATATAACATGTACACAAAGCTTCAGGATTCTGTGTTCAGTGAAGTTGGGTGTGTTTGAGCTATTGCTGTTTTTCTAATTAGCCTTATTTTATTCCTTTTAATGTCTGTTTTCTTTAATGTAGATACATTATACTCTCCCAGACAGTCGAATTTTGGTTTGTGCACCATCAAATGCTGCAACAGATCTGATTTGCTTGCGGCTGCATCAAAGCAATCTGTTAAAACCAGGAACTATGGTCAGAGTTAATGCTAGCTTCAGGTCAGAAGAGGTAAATATGATAGATATCTGCCAGTTCGTATTTCCATTTTAATATTTTGCTCTTAAGTGACTGATTTAGTAATGTAACTGTCATGGTTATTAGGCTGGTTAGGCTTCTTTAGGATCCAAATTATAAAAATACTGCTTGAGCTTTTCCAGAAGATTAGCTGGAAAATGCTGATCATAATCTGATTGTATGACCACAGAATCTTCGCCTCTTCCTTGTAGTGCCTAACTCCGCAAGCAGCACATGCATATCAGTGGGATTTTTAATGTAAGATGCTTTGACATACAAAGCAGTCTTAAAGTCTGTAAGAAGTCAAGCCTTGTTTTCAGATTACTTACACAGAAATGTAGACAAGTAGGATTGGCATTTTTATACAGTACACATTGTGTGTGTATTTTATGTATATGTATATGCTTATATACATACATAAGTATATGAAACATCCATATGTTCAATTTTGATCTTGACAATAAAAAAACCCACAGATGTCTTGCGTATGTGCTACTTTGTTTAGGCAAATTAATGAAGAGTTCATTTTGGTGTATGAATGGGTCTAAAAGTGTTTTGCTCAGCTTTTAAAGTAGTTTTCAGTGGGCTTTTTAATTCAGACTAAAACAGTTTGGTTTAGAGTGGCATTTTGTTTTGCAAAATACTTTCTTGTTTTTGCAGCAAATTAATGACCTGGTGAAACCTTACTGCAAGGATGGTGATGACATTCAGAAGGCATTATGGTTCAGGATAATAATTACCACATGCAGCAGTGCAGGAATGTTTTATCAAGCAGAAATACGGTAGAGTACTATAGATAGGCATATCGCTGAGGTAGCTGGGTGCTACAAAACCCAGAGTTTTATATACCCTCTGTACTGTAACTTAAGCTGCTTTAGTACAGTTTATTGCATGTGTCTCTTCTGAAATTGTCTACCAAGCAAACAACTTGGTTTTAGGAATACTGCAGCAGAGACTTTTTCTGTGGTAACTGTAAGAATTACCTTGAATAATGTTAAAAGATTTTTGACGCAATAACCTTTGCTCCACTAAGTGGGAGCCCTCCAAAATGAGTGGGAGCCTTGAAAATGATACAGCTCTTGAAAGTCATTTTGGCTCAAAATGATTGTCACACTAAAAATTGTTATGCTTGGCTTTTAGCAAGTTACCTTTAATTGTAAAAAAAGAAACAAACCCTACCATGTCAACTGCTGGTAACTAAAGCTTCCTCTGATTTTGATTTTAACTTTGTGAAAGGACACTCTGAAGCCTAATTGGCTTGAGTTGTTAGAAATAAAGCCTGGGGATTGTCTTGGCTCCACTGAGTGCACTGTTCTAATTAAGTAGCTTGAAGGAAACTCAGAACAAGGAAGGCTTTTCTGAGTGTCTTAACCTTGGTATGAGCAATGCTTTAATTAAGATAACCAGTGGCTGTGTATACTGGAGTATGTAAGTAAAAGTACAGATGACAAATTGAACTTACTGGGGTTTTTTTCTATGTTGCATGTTGAAAATACCCACCTTTGCTCAGTGAATGGAGTTGCCTGGCACACTTGACAAGGAAGTTAACAGAATTGCTGAGATCAGCCACAGGGTGGCAGAATGAGCTAATCTGAAAACAGCCCTATTTTGGGTTCATGTTATTTAATTCTAGGCTTGGACACTTCACTCATGTGATTCTGGATGAGGCCGGACAAGCAACTGAACCAGAGAGCTTGATTCCTATTGGGCTGATATCAGAAGCTAATGGACAGGTAGTTCTCTTGGCGTCACTTGCTGGAAGGAAGAAAGTTTTGGTCCACTGTTATTTCTGTGAATGCAAGCAGCAACTTCCTGGTTATGAGTATGGAATTCTGAGTACTTGTAACGAATCTTATTCCTGCACAATAACTGTTTCCCACACTTGCATGAGGTTTTTTACATTAAGACGAGTCTAATTGGTAGGACAGGATTCAGGGTGTGGAAGATGTCAAAATAAAAATATGCTTTCTTAATTCAAGACAGCAATGTACTTCTGTCCTGGGCCTGTGCAGACAGATCAGATGTTTGCAGGAAAGCAGAATACTTCATATCAGTTGTCCTTTTAATTCTGACCTGTGTATGTTGTTACTGAAATTACATTTTAATAACTTTCTTAATACAAGATGGATGTATTTTTATTTTTAATTCCATATACAGATAGTTCTTGTTGGAGATCCAAAGCAGTTAGGGCCAGTAATAAAATCTAAAATTGCACTGACATTTGGATTAAACGTGTCCTTTCTGGAAAGGCTGACATCAAGGGAGATATACCTGAGGGATAAGGATGCTTTTGCTGCCTGTGGAGCATATAATCCTTTGTTGGTGAGTAAAACTACAATTTTCATTCTACCTATATCAAAAAGGGAGAAACTGTGGTTCCTGCTGTTTTCTTACCACCTTTTTGCTCCCTGATGCTTAATGATTAGGTTAGCTTGAGCGTTAGTTATCTAGGAAACATTGATTATTTTGAATATATACTCCGAATAGCAAGGATGCTGAGTCCTCCAGCATGTTAAAACCCTCCTTTGAAGGGATTCTCTATTCTTAAGCAGAATAGGTCAAATATTGTATACAAAGCAGTATTCTAAATAATGACTTAAAATTCCCTTCCGTTTCCATGGTCCATGTTTACTGTAACTTCATGACTTACATGAGTGCAGATTCTACTTTTAACATAGAAAGATTTTTAAAAAAACCCACTCTTGTTTAAACATAAAGATTAATTTTTAAACACTGTGTTTCAGAAAGGAAAAGAAAGCAGTTTCTGGTTATTCGTTTGAGGGATTTCTTTAATCACCTCTTCCTGAAGTAGAGCTTCCTGAAACCTGGTATGGTGACGTACCTAAAGTCTGTGTTAAGTGGCAGAGGTAGCATAGTACATAAACAAGCACAGATCTTTCAGCTGCTTTAACTTACTGTCTGAATCTGAAGTACAGGGCTGAAGTTAAACTTACTAAGATGCCTTCCTCTTCTCATGGTAATATGCTTTGAAGAATTAAACTGAGAGCACAGATAACTAGATGACCATGTAAACAGGGGAGGGACAAATTCTGATGGCAGACCTGTTGGGAAAAGTGAGTGGTTTGGCCCTGGGCTTGAGATTGGGTTCAGCCTGCTGAAAAACCTGTCATACTACCTCCTAAAACTTGTTGCAGCAAACTTTCATTGCTGTGTGCCTTATACAGTGCTTAAGCAGAATTGGCATAATGAGAGAGCAGGAAGTATCAGGGCTTTTAAAGATACTATTTGACTTCGAGTATCATATGTTAGTCTTTTCTATGGGACATACTGGGTTTTGAGCTGTTTATTATGGACTGGAATTATTCCTTAAGGCCATTCTTTTATTTAAAGACAGAAGCCAGAAATGTATTTATCAGCTGTTTTAATGCTCCCTTTCTGCCTGTCAGGACTTCCTGAAAAAAAAAAATCGGGCTACATCCATGGAAACCCCATTCAAACCAATTCATCTATCAAGTACATTCAGCTGGATTTACCGTTCTTCTTCTTTTCCCCCTTGGAGGGGAAGAGATGGTCTTTCAAAAACTGCTTTTTTATTTATTTAGAATAGATCACACCTGCAGTTTCTGCATTCAATACAGGTCTTCAGCAGCTTTAGAAAAGCCGAATGCTAGAGGATGGTGAGGTAATCACAGAACCATAGAATAGTTACGGTTGGAAAGGAATTTAAGATCATCCAGTTCCAACCTCCTGCTGTTGGCAGGGATGCCTCACACTAGACTATGCCCAAGACTCTGTCCAGTCTGGCCTTGAGCACTGTCAGGGATGGAGTATTTACCACTTCTTTGGGCAGCCCATTCCAGTGCCTCACCGCCCTCACAGTAAAGAATTTTTTCCTTATAGCTAAACCTGAACTTCCCCTGTTTAAGTTTTAACCCATTACCCCTTGTCTTATCACTACAGTCACTAATGAACAGTCCATCCCCACTTGTAGGCCCCCTTCAGATACTGGAAGGCTGCTACGAGGTCTCCACGCAGCCTTCTCTTCTCCAGGCTGAACAGCCCCAACTTTCTCAGCCTGTCTTCATATGTATCTGCTTGGGAGCTGTGTAGTGTGAAGTCTGATGAATAATTATCTGTTTCAGTTATGGATTTGGGGTTTTGGTTTTGCAGATCACAAAACTTACAAAGAATTACAGGTCACATCCTGCGTTGCTTGCCTTGCCATCTAAATTGTTTTATCATAAGGAGCTAGAAGTTTGTGCAGACACTTCAGTAGTAAATTCTTTGTTGCATTGGAGGAAACTGCCCAAGAAGGGATTTCCACTAATTTTTCATGGAATAAGGGTATGTAAAATGTTTCTGTAGTGAAAATACAAATGAGGACGCCTGATACAAGTTTACTGATGTTGTAGATGAATTTTCGTTAGAATAAATTCTAGAAAGAATGTGAAAAATGAAGAAATTTTTCTTTTCCCAGTAATACAACTTTCTGTGCATCTGGTTTTAGAAACAGCTGCTGAAGTCAAATGTTTGCTAAGAACTTGAGCGGCTGCCCATTGCAGTGTATTGTGGAGACATTTTGACACAAATTTAAATTCAGAGCAGATTAACCAAGATGCAGCTACAGTCAGATGCCTTTAGATTGCTTTTGTTGAGAGTTTGCTACATGCAAATGAATACAAGGCTCTAAAACTAGATGAGTATTAAGGCTTAAGTAGGCAGGGGAAAATATAGTGATTTAGAACAAGATTTTTTTCTTCGTAGAAGTTAGTAAAAAGAAGTTAGTCTCCCTAGAAGTTAGTAAAAACTGATAAGAGGATTGGTTTTGAGCTCTTTACCTTGCACAAGTGCAAGATACCAACGTGCTGATGTGTTTGTTAGAGAGTTGAGATTTAACTCCTTTGTTGCACACCTAAAGTACTGCTGTCCTATAAATTCTCCACAAAATTCTTAACAAAGAGTTAGTTGATACTGTTCATTGGAAGGGGTGTGTAGGGAAGAAGACAAATTGTATATAACATTGCATACCTTTTTTGCATTTAGTATGTATAAGAATAATTTATTAATAAATAATCACTTCCGCACCTTGTCTTCATCTTGTTTTCTTTCCCCTACTGCAGGGCAGTGAAACACGTGAAAGTCGCAGTCCTTCATGGTTTAATCCAGCTGAAGCAGTTCAAGTAATGCAGTACTGTTCTGACCTTGCTAGAAGTGAGAACACTGCAGTGCCAGTGACTGACATTGGAGTGATTACACTGTATCGTAAACAGGTAGAACTGATGTCTAACAACTTCAGAGTCGCTGTATTTTATCTTGTGGATTTACACTGTGGCTGTGGTTTGTTAAAGCAGAGAGGCATATCTCAAAACTTTGCTGTTGTGCATCATCCTACACAGTGTATTATCAATAATCAGTGATGTTTCCATTGAAATCTAAACATAGAGGAAGACAGCAGTAATGGCATTCTACTTTTTACTTTTAAAAATTGGAAAGCGATTAAGGCAAGCTGTTTTGGAAGCAGAGTTTTCAGTTGTTGGGAGTAAAGGGTGCGAGTCAGGAATTTATTATCCCACAGCTGATTTTGTCACTTACTTTCTGCACTGAGGACTGGAACAAAAAGGTAATGTAGTGAAGTAGGTGGCATGTCACCTTGCTATGGCTTTGAGGAAACTAGAGAAGTTGGGATGATTTAGTTGTCCCGTAGTCAGACTTGAAGTTTGTGTTGCTATTTAAACCTGTAGAGAATGTTGAATGTCAACTTCAAATGCTGTGCCTTATTTTTAAAGCTATTTATATTCACATATGTTTAAAATGAAAGCAGACAGCATGTACTTAAGGCTACATCTCCTTTCATTTCCAGAGGATGCTCTGGACAGTGCATCTCATTTTCCTTGCTATTCACATCTCAGATTTCATGGCATTGCATGTGTGGGTTGGGGGAAACAACCCACACAACATGGCCTGTGTGGAAAAGACCAGCCTCTGTTGAGTAAATCACACTTGTAAATACACTGATCCTCCTGGTCAGGTGTATATGCCTGCCTGTGTTTGCAGTTACTATTTGTTTTTCAAATATTTATATATTGGTGTGGCTCAACCTCTTATACTCCCTAAAACGTTTCACATCATTTAATGTGATTACGGCCTTCCTCTGCGTGTGATGCAAGACATAGAAGAATGTCTGCTTCAAGAAAGTCACCTTGTATTGCAGGAACACTGATTAAATAGTCATTGACTATTCCCCATCTTAGCCAGGCAAGGTTTCTTGGTAAATTTCTTGGAGTTCTTAGTGTATGATCTCTAAGCAGCTTTTAGCAGATGGTAATATGCTGATCCCACACATAGCAGCATTTTGGTCCACAGGACTCCTTTTTCTCTTTTTGGGGTGTACTTAAGGTCACATCTCACTTCCGTCTTTAACTGCATGATGCAGCTGACAAAGGTGGAATCTGCACAGTCATCTTGAGGAGCTAGGGAAAGCTACTTGCCCTGCCACATCTGTGGTAAGCATGGTTTTGGATATAATGAAAATTGTAAGAAGAGGGTTTATGGATCCAAGTTGTTCTCATTAAAATCCAGATTGATTTCTGTTTCAATGATGGTAGCGAGTGCTGCACTTTCTCAGTTGTGTAGTAAGTGTGATACACCTCAGGAAAAGTTACTGTTTGATTTTAAAACCTTACTGGTGAATGATGGCTGAGCAAGGTATAGGCATTTCCTGAGACTTCTCTGTGTTAAATCACATAGTTGTATACAGAGTATGTTTCAGTTCAGAAGTAATCAAACATAAACCTCTCAAATGTAAAAATAAATTCCTTCAAACACTGGTTTGTTGTTGGTTTTGTTTTTTTCTTGGTAGGTGGAAAAAATTAGATTACTTCTGAGAAGTATCGATTTGGCAGGCATTAAAGTTGGCTCAGTAGAAGAGTTTCAAGGGCAGGAGTACCCGGCTGTCATCTTATCAACAGTATGTATATTCGTTGTGGTCATCTAGAGAGTTTTTGTGTCTGATTCTCTGTGTTTCCTTTTTGATATAGGGCTTTACAGGGTAAAAGAATAAAAAATTAAAAGATGCATTTTTGTCAGTCTGTCACAGTATTTGAAAACAGCTTATTTTTAGGTGCATGGGAACAGTAGAGCATCTGTGATTTTTGAGGTAAACTTTAAACCTTTGTAGATACTCATGCTGAATTTATTTTGGAGTTTCATGCAGATAATGTACCTTTCACTTGGGGAGAATGGAAAGATACACGTTTGGGAAGATGATGCATGTAGAATTGTGTTGAGGCCATTCCTTGCATTTGACAACGGGGGAAAGAGGATTGTGTCAGAGTACTGGGAGGGCTTGTTGTTATTTGGAAGCTGGCAGCCTTTGTCTCTCATCTTCTTTTGCAAAGTTGATGACCAATATGCTCCAGCAGATGTTTGTGTGTTCTGAAAGATCTCAGTGCATGTTATTTGCTGGTGGCAAAGATGAGGTCGTAGTTTTCAGGCAGTTGGCTAGAGTATGGAAATACTGTTTGTAGCAGCTGAGACATCAGGCTTCAGAAGACTCCCAAAGTTGAGCTAAGGTTAAATGTAAGCATATGCCCATTCCCTCTCTAAATCCTAGATACTATTCCAGCAAACGTACCTATCCCTGGTATTTGAACTCATGTGAAAACCCCATAAAGGGAAAAGCTACAGCAGCTTCTTTATATCCTACTTATACGTTCTTTGTCTTCTCAGGCATGTAAGATTGTTGCCTGAGGCTCTTGTCAGGAGGCTTTTCTTTGTGCTTCTAAGGAGAAATCGGTGGGGGGTTAAGAAGCCTAAGCAGCAGCTGACAAGTCAGCTGATAGCTGCTGAGGCTTTTTGCAGACAGCTTCTTGCTACCAGAATACATGGTACCAATCTGAGTCAACAGCTATCAAATATGTGCTGCTGTAGGCATGCTGAACTCCTGGACAGAAGTAAAAATCTCTGCTGGATCAGTGGAAAAAGACAGTTGGGAAATCTTAGAGAAAGCTTAACTTAATATTGTGAACATCAGCAAGTGATACGAGGTCAGTGTAGGGTGATGCTTGAGGATTCATTTTCTTTAGTGGGCATTGTGGGCCCTACATAGCTGTGTTTCTACAGTGTGGAATTCAGTTCAGAATACAAAAGAAGTCTGCATATACTTGCTTTTTTCCAAATGGTGACATAATTTTGGTGCAGTAAGTCTCTAAACTTAGAAGATGGAAGTGTTTGGAACATGGAGCTCTTGAGGTTTTTGCGACCTAGGTCCCTCAGGGGTGTTCAAGAACATACAGAACAGGCAGAGCCTGTATGTCTGAGTAATGGTATACATGGCAAACTGGTCAAAGGAGGAAGCATAGACCAGGAATGGGTAGCTGAAGATCTGACCAGTACTGGCCTACTTGTAACAGGAGAACATAGGATTTCCAGGAGAGAGCAGGAGAAAATGGCCGTGTAGACAACCAAAGCACTGGGAAGCAGGGTGGATGCAGAGGTAGAGGAACAGTTGGCTTTTGGGATTGTTCTGTGGCTTGGAGGAAGAGTTTGTGGGATGTTTGGGGTTTTTTCCTGAGGGCAGTGGTACTACAACTGCTTTCTTTGTTCTGCATCATACCATAGCTTTTCAATACAGCACTATTTTTCTCTTAAACTACTTCTAGGCATGTACCATGCTCCTATTTATAAGAACTCATTATTTTGGTCATGAAAACCATCTTTTATCAAAGATGGGTTCAAATAGAGATAAAATAGAGGTGTAAATTTAATGAACACACTACAGCACACTAGTTGCTTTGGCTGTTTTTTCTAAGCTAAGTCAAAGCACACTGAGACTGCTGAAGAAGTCTTGCAGAAAAGATGCACTGCGAGTTGTCATTCAGCTGTAGGACTTAGAATACCAGCAGTTCTAGCATTTCTTCCACTGACAAGATAAAAATCACTGGGGTTTTTGAAGCAGTTTTGGTATCTTGTATTTCAAATTACAGTGGGATAGTCCTGACGCTAAAATAAAACCAGTGCACCGTTCTCTTGTAATTGCTGAAGTTGCCTTAGCAACCTGTTGGGAAATAGACTTCCTTTGGGAAAGCCAGTGGTGGGAAATAGTTAGGTAGCTGCACTTTAGAAGCTAACTTGTGCATTGCTGATGTTGAGCTGCAGATGTGGATTGCTCCAGGAAGCAAAAACTATGTTAAAGTTATGCTATGGCTATTGCGAGGTTAAGTTGCTTTCTCATTATTCTATTACTAAAATTATCCATAATTAATTTTAGGTGCGATCTTGTGAAGGCTTGTTTGGTGATGATAAATACTGTTTGGGCTTTCTCTTTAACCCAAAGAGATTTAATGTAGCAGTTACTAGAGCAAAAGCTTTGCTCATCGTCATTGGAAATCCTCATCTTCTTGCAAAAGTAAGTTTAGTTTTTTGTACCTTTGGTATTTGCTGCAGTAAATGAATGATTTGGGGGGTTAGATTTTTCTCGATGTTATGTCTGACTTTCCAGATAAAAAGGAAAGCAGGTTGGAATAGTAGGCTCTGTCTCCCCACACCTATGTGCAACAAATACTTACAGCAGCTGTAAGCCTTCCTCCAGTGTTAGGCCATGCTTGCAGCAGTCCTGTTGCTGAAAAAGGTCCTGTTAAATCTCCTGCATTCATGTGCTAATTTGTTTGAAAACTCACTTCACAGAGCAGTGCGATTTAAATTAAACGTCCTCTTCTCTTCTAGGATCCCTGTTTTTGTGCACTGTTAGAATACAGTTTAATGAATGGAGTTTATGTTGGTTGTGACCTGCCTCCAGAGCTGGAATGCCTGCAGAAGTGAGTGTCTGTTCTTCACTTCAACCTTGCTAGGCACAGATCAGTTTACTATTTGTAAAGCTAATATCATCTGAAAGATTGATGAATACAGCAGCCTGTGGTATCAAGAGTGGGATTTGATTTTGCATTCTTAAGTACTTTAAACATAATAACATGTAATGTAACCATATTTTCCCCTGCCCCATAGGAGTCTGAGCATTAAATATTGCGTAAGAGCTGTTGACGACTTTGGCATTTTACATATTCCCCTAATGACGCATTACGTATTTGATGACCATAAGGATTTGGGTTAGAGGGAGGTGGGGGGGAATGTTTAAGGTGACTTTACTGTAATTAAAGAAATCCACTCGAAGACTGATTTTAAACATGTCTCTTCTAGTAACACGTGATATATTGTTAAATGGGTGTGATCTACTAGCTGAAAGGCCTGTTTATTTTTGTTCCAATGTTGTTCATGGAAAGATAGCAAAAATTGTATATCTTCTTCCTTTTGACAGGTGTGATTAGTTTTCCAGTGTTCAAGATGCATTCAGCCCTCATGTGTTTTGAAACTAAGAATATTTAACAGCAATTTGATCCTGAGGAAAACCAGCATCCTTTGCCCTCAGGGAAGGGCACGTGTTCTGAAACAGTTGGATGTTTCTCCAAACAAGATCTTAGTACTTTAAGAAGTGAAAAAGTTGAGATTTAGCAATATAAAATAGTAGTGGCAGCTTACTTGCTTTTCTGTTTAGAATGTGTGTGACTTTATGCCTCTGCGTAGAAGAGTATGCCTGAACCTATAACAGTATGCCTGAATCCTCCAAGCTTCAGGACAAAAATGTTGATAAAACACTTAAGTTAGCTTTTTCCTGTTCTGTAATCTTCTCAGCTTCTTGATTTTCTCAGAATTCTGTCGTGCCTCCTAAAACTGGACAATCCCAAGAATGTACTTGTGTCTTGTAATTTCGTTATGGGAGTGTTACAGTAATAAATGCACAACATGAGCTGGAATAATACATAAATATCTCCATTTGACTAATATTGAGTGTCTTAAGCCAAGTATGCTTAAAAAAAAAAAGTGCTTCCAGTTTTTAAGGCCCTTATACATACAGCTGAGATCACACAGGATTTTCTTGGGTTTTCTCTGCATTCCAGCTATCCACTGTGGTGTGTCAGAACAATGCTTCTCTCTCCTGAGAGAACAGTGAAGAGATCATAATGGAGACTGATGATGCTTACTTTATTGCAAGACATACACAGAACTTCTGATTATCATTTCCACAGCAAGTAGCAGAGGAGTGATTATATTGTGATACTTAATATGTGTAGTTACAAGTTAATAATCTTTGAATTGTTATAGTTTGTATGCTGATACCAGTTTCTACAAAGATAAAAACCTGCTTATTTTTGAAGGTTGTGCTTTCATTATTCAGCAGATGTCACATCATAAATGCCTTTTATCATACATTGGGCTTATTTTTCTAGAAGAGTTCTTAGTTTAAAGGGCAAGTGCACATTTTTGAGGGAAGAAAAAAAAAATCTTTCATCCAGCAACTACCTTTTGCCGGTGGAGAAATTCATCAGTGAAAAGAGCATTTAACTGTTCTTACTGTAATTCATATTGTCCACAACTAAAATGTGGAAACCTTTTCCCGGAGTTACTAAGGCTAGCCTCTGACAGTCTTTAAAAGTGCTTCCAGAGCAGTGCTTATGCCTCATTGAGAGGGCTGCACAAAGCAAGCCAAGCTTGCATTCTCTTTATGTTGAAGGATGGGAGAAGCGCGATTTCTGTTCCTGCTTTTATTGTTGCATATTTAAAACTACTGTTGTTTTTTTTTCCTAACCCATTTGCCTCACCCTGCGTATTAATGACTGAGGAGCTGCAGTGTGTGATATACAACAACTTTGTCTTCCTCCTTTTCTTGCAATATTTCTCAACTCTTTCTGCCTCTACCCAGCTGGAAACCTTGTTTGAAGAAAGACCTTCCCATGGGAACTGTACAGCATTAACAGTGTTTGCAGCTTTACAACAGTTACTTCTGGCAGCTTGATGTGCCTGCAGTGCTGTTTCCAGAGGTGTTAGCTTCAGTATTCTAGTCGTGTCTTTCCTGCAGTCTTGTGGCCTGATGAGCTGGACTGAAGGGGAGAAAACGTAAGTAGTTAAGAGTTTAAATTTTAAAACTACTTTTGAGAGAACAAGTCAAACCCTCAGAAACCCGTGGAGGTTTTTTTGCAGAATCAAAGCACACAGTGCTATACTGCACACTGAACAGGTTCTTGGTGTTTCCTCAGTATCTTCCAAACAGTAACAAAGTTCTGTGAAGTGGTTCCTGCATTGTGGTGGTCCCAACAGCTGAATTCTGTGCTGTGGCAACAGGAGTTCCCTCAATGGATGGTCTTTGCCTTTTCAAAGGAAGTCCCTTAACTTGTAGGTGCCTGCATTTAGATCACAAGTGAAAGAAAAAGTACATACTTCTAACAGTAATTTAGAATAGGAAGGCTTTATTAGAGTTGTGATCCCTCATATTGCTTATTACAGTCTTTACTGACTATTTCTTATGTGTTTAAGTTCCCATTACATTGCTTTTGTTCATCTGTCCAGGCTGGTGCAGTGTGGGTAAGGTCACATTAAATCCCTAATAGATGCAGGAGTTGCTGGGCAAGTAATTTTTTATGTTTCATGTGTTATTTATATTAGTTCCATGTATTTTCATAACAGCAGTTTAACTGCACGGTACCCAATCAAAGTTGCACCTCTACCAACTACACAGCAACACCTTGAAGATCAGACTGTGAGTCTCTGACACAAGCCTTATCATTCAGGTTGTACCAGCTCAATAGTGCCAAGTCTGGTGCATGGGTGGATGCTGCTGCCCAGGCTGCAGGAATAGGCTGTGTGTACTTTTCCACCTAATGTGGGGTGGGAGCCTTGTTAACCCTTTCTGTCCTCTCTCTTCCTGAAAAATGGGCAGTCTACACCTGAACAGAAAAAAAAACGCTGAGGCTGTAGTTACAACCTGTATTCAACAGCTTATGTAATCATGGGTGTCCTGGGTTCAGCAGTAGCAGTCGTTTTTCTCCTTCTTAGTAGCTGGTGCAGTGCTGTGGTTTTGACTTTCGGCCTGGGAACAGCACTGATAACACTGATGTTTTTAGTTGCTGCTCAGTAATGCTTACTCTGACCAAGGATATTCTGAGTCTCACGCTCTGCCAGGGAGGAGGGGAACCCGGGAGGAAGCAGGGACAGGACACCTGACCCAAACTGACCAAAGAGGTATTCCATACCACAGCACGTCATGCCCAGTATATGAACTGGGGGCAGTTACCTGGAAGGGCCAGATCACTGCTCGGGTCAGGCTGGGTATTGGTCGGTAGGTGGTGAGCGGTTGCATTTTCTTCCCTTGTTATTTCCCTTATCATTATTACTATTGGTGGCAGCAGTAGTGATTTGTGTTATACCTTAGTTATTGGACTGTTCTTACCTCAACCTGTGGGAGTTACATTCTTCCAATTCTCCTCCCCATCCCTCTGGGAGCAGGGGGAGGCGGGGGGAAGTGAGTGAATGCCTGCATGGTACTGAATTACCAGCTGGGCTTGAACCACGACAGTGGGTTTTCCATAGGGGCTGTTATCCCAGTAAGGGCCATTAAATCAATGGGACAAGAAACAACCCAGAACGTGGGAAACCTGCACCTGCTATTTACTGTCTTCTGCAACCTCAATTTGACAGCATTACAAAAGTTAAATAGACTTTTCTCCTTCAAATAAAGTAGCTTCAAGGTGTCAAGGAACATTGTGCTGCACATTTAGGAGCTCAGAAACCAGAATAATGAGTATTCTAAATTGTAATAGAAAACAGACCCTTTTAAAAATTAATATTGTTGTACTGCAACGCAAAAAGACAACATCAGCATTCATTCACAGATGAAGGAACAATTCCTTTATCTTTTACCAAGCTTGTTAAAATCTATGTACTCTGATTATTTAAACAATTGGCTGCTTTTGTTTTAAGTAGTAATGGTAAGGCAAATGCAATATGCCTCCAAGCTGTGGGGAAGGGTGTTCTTGCAGCACATGCTGAAGAGTGGGAGGGTAAAGAAATCTTTTTAAGCTGCTTCAATTTCCTTACAGCGTTATGTCTCAATAGCTCTTTAAAGATGTTTCAGTACTGGCTTCTTGATAATTGCTCTGTAAGAGCCAAAAGAAATGCTTCCACTGCGATGTCTCACAGAAGTACAGCGAGGGGTGACATGCTGTAGGACAGAAGTCAAACTGCAGACCCTGGGAATGAAGAACTGTAGGTAAGGAGAGGACCAAGTGCTGTTGAAATGTTACATTTGAAAAGGCTTGGAAATTGTCCAAAATGCACAAATGAATAGATCTAGTCTAAAACTAATGGTTCCTTTAAGGAGTACTAATGTCAAGGAAGAAAAAATTAAGAGCCAGAAGAGAGTGCACAATGTAAAAGTATGTAAACACTGGTTCATGGTTTGCTCATTGTGATTCTTTCAGCCGGGAATAAAGTGTATCCAAACAACAGCAAAAGCAAGGGAAGGTGAGAAGTACTGGAAATTCAGTGTAGGAAGGATAGAAGAGATGAATAATGGAGAAATACTTCTATGACTGCACTCTTTAAGGAGTGGTATCCAGCAGCAAGGTTGAGTCTGGATGTGGGTATCTGGAGGTACAACTGGTGCTGTTCTGACTGGTGGCTGAAGGAGCAAAGCTGCACATGTCATGCTTTGTGCCTTCTCGGTTCTTTTATAAAGCAATGTAGGTGATGATGCAGAGGGCGGTCCATGAAACGTGGCCTGTGTGTCAGGTTTTAACATGCTTGGGCACTTCTTTAGTGCCCTGCAGTAAAGTTGGGGTCCCAAAATCCACTTTGCTTCAGTAAAAGCTGGGGTATTTGTTTACCTTTTTTGTGAATGGGATGCTCTTCCTTAATGTGGTTCTAGCCTAATGATGCTTAACAGAAGTGCCTGCTTCTGTAAGAAATCTGTATATTCCTAATAATACGTCTGAAGAGCAACCCAGTGTGTCTCTGAAGAGGAACAGAACGGATGATCCCAGTCAGGTGATCATCATCGCAGTATCTGAGTGCCCTTATAGGGCTCACAGCAACCAGAAGAGCAGCCCTGCTAGTGTCGGGGGCAAACGAGAAGCTGTGTTGTCCCTAATAGCAGGGCTTTGTAAGCAATCAGATGTACCGTGTTGACCATAAGAGAAAGTTGTGTTTCAAAGGAAAGCCCAAATGCTGCAGCCTTTGTTACTTCACTTGGTCCTGGAGTGAGGGAGGGTGGCCGGGCTGCAGCCCACAGCATGGCCCCACAGGGCAGCGTTGCCTGAGTGAGGGGCAGATAAGTGCTGCCCTGGGCACAGCAAGAGTGGGTGCACCAGGGCTGGGCAGAGCAGCACCATGCAGACCCCTGCAGCAGCGGGGGTGGAGGGGAGAAGCACAGAAATATGCTTTTGTCAGCTCTTGGTCATTTGCTGAAAATGCTCTGTGGGAAGTCAAGGGCCTCATGGTGTTCCATTCTGCTGCTAACAGCCGTGCCCTGGGGCAGTGAAGGGGACAAGACAGCGAGGACAGAAGGGTAGTGAAAATTTCCCTTTTGGCTTCTCTTAAATTAATGAGCAAACAGCACAGATGGGACAAGTGAGGCAGAAGAAGAAATCCAGCATAAACATTCCCTGTAGAATGCCTCAAATGAAGACATTCTTTGTGTGGAACAGCACAGCGACTAAAAGGCATTTTCACCTATATTCTCTCTGTTTCAGGAGAGCTCTCTGCAGGCTGGTCAGACAAGGACAGTGACGGTAACTCAGCCCTGTCAACCCTCCGTATATGTATTTCTATCCCTGCAGTAGCTGGCTCTCAGAGGCACCCCAGCAGCCCATGCTGGAGGGGCAGGTAGCTCGCGTGGGCACAGCCAGTGCAGCACAATTTGTCTGACCCCTCCAGATTTCTGCAGTCTTGAGGTTGTGCTGGAGTCACCTGCCTTAAGACTTGACCTTTGTCAGATGTATGTGGCGATGTTTAACTTCAGACCCAAGGAATTGCTAGTAATAGGCTAGTGAATAGTGTGCAATTCACTTGCTCGGGCTGTTCACCCATTTTGCGTAAGCCACTGCCCATTTTTAAAAGCAAATTGTTTTCCAGTCTTCAGGCAGATTTCTTCATCCAGTATAATGCTATCAAGCTTTTATTTCAAGTGTGTTGTGCTAGGTACTGCTAACTAGGTAATAAGTCATCCCAAATACATTCCCAGTTGATGCTACCATCTTGTTTGCACTGAAAATGAGTGCAGTCCCTGTAACTGCAGTATCACCCCTTTATACTCCAGCCCATCCTGAAATTAAGTCTTAAAAATGATTGTACATAAGTGTATGTGGCCTTTATGGTAGTGCC